ATCTCTTGGTACATTTACATAATCAAACCTAAAGCCTATAGAAACTGCTCTGCACCTGACTCACAGGCTTGCCAAAGTAGACATACAACGTAAGTCAACCAGGAAACAGCCATTTTGTTAGAAAACTCTTCTAACAGAGTGATATAGTAATCAAAGGAAGGGGGCACACCAAATGCCAGAGAAGAAGACAATGGTAAAGCAAGAAGGTGGTATTACGGACCAAAGCATATGTGACACTGAGAATTCCATGTAAAGAGCTTCCAGGTGGGTTTTTTGCCCTTTTAAATATCTGGCATGTGACCCCTTCCTCCTGAAACTAGTTTTTGATTAAGTAACTTCCTGGGACTGACCAAGGGGACATGACTAACAGACACACATGCCCCAGACCAAAATAGTATAAAAAGAGCAATACCCACCATTTGCTCTCTCTCTCTCTCTCCTCTACTTCTAGACCCACCCTATCTCCACAACTCTTGGTTTTACTGCTGCCAGAGTCTACCATGTGTTCTGCTGGTTCAGAATATGACTCTCATTCCCCCATAATCTCCCTTATTTTTTCTGTGGATATTCCATCCCACCGAGATTATTTTTTCTGTGGATATTCCATCCCACCAAGAACAGGTACGTATCACCCCTCAACTATTCTCCTGCTAATGCGAACATCGCTATCCCTTTCTATCTATATTTCCTAGGTCTGAATAATTGTGTGTATGATTGTGTTTTCATTGTGTGCTTGTGAATACCCTCAGTAAAGAATCCATTTCTTTAAGACTTGGCTTCTGCGTTTATTTGTGAGTTACTGGGAAAGGCATGACTTCTGTATAATAGGCTATTACTCCCTTAGAAGTCAATTGCTCACTAATATCATAATTCCCCATCTTTATTGATAACAAAAGTCAATTTGGCTAACACCACCCTGCGCAGGCACAGTCCCAATGTGGGGCTGCACTGAAGATGGAAGATGAACAGGTTGTGTGGACACCATTCCCACTCCATTTGCTGCTACCACTGTGGCAGAGGTGAATTTTCACACTCCTTTGCGGATGCAGCCAGATTAATTTATTTAAAGTGCTTCCAAAAGTGAACACATATGGGAATATTTAAAGAACTTTCCCCTAATGACTTCCTGAGCTGCATTCTAGCCGCCATGAGCCTGCCTTGGCATGGAGGGCAGGGTATAAATTGAATTAATAAATAATAAATAGATCTTCTGTTGAGTCTTCTTTAGTGATATGGCTCTGGCATAGCTTTGTGAATGCAACCAATTCCCACATACATTACATTACATTACACATTGGATTTCTATACCACCCCTTTCCGTAGACTCGGGGCGGTTTCCATTTCAGAGGATTACTTTAAAACATGTACAAAAATAATATCAGATGAGCTGACAGGAAAGAAGTGTTTTCTGTTACTGAGTTTGGTCATTGCTACAAGTCTGTGACTGAGCAATAAACGAGGTGCTTTTCCCATGTTAACCACAGAAGTGCACATGTCAAGAGAACTAAGCAGTACAATCCAAAGTATGATGACATATGCCTACTTACTTCTGTGTTCAGTGGGACAAACTCCTGGGCAAATGTGTATAGAATTGCAACATTCATGTGAAAAATTACTTCACAGTAGGTGGTCTGTACCTTATTGAGTGTGTGAAGAGCTTCCTGGGCAGCAGCAAGGGCAGGTTCAGCTTTTGCCAGGTCCTCCTCACAGTCTTTCTGCTTCTGCTGGACCTCTTGGGTAATTAAGGCCACCTTTTTCTCCTCGTCATCAGCAATGGCCTTCTCCTTACTCACTTTCTCTGTCTCGATGCCCACCACCTGGATCAACTTGTCTGCATCCTCATTTTTCTGTTTCAACTCCACTTCTTGGGCTGCCAGCTTTGCTTTTAGATCATCCACCTAGAGCAAGGAAAGGGGAAACCCAGCCAGGAGACATGGAATTAGAATTATGGGACATTTACAGGGGAAAGGGAGTATTTGAAAAAGGAATATTTAGGAATAGGGGGGGAAAGGTCTCATTAGATTTCACGCTAGTCAACAGATCCCTATAAAAAGTGTGGACAACGACTGAAAATGGGGTTTAAATGGATGCTGGGAAGTTTAAATTCAGGGGTTTAAATGGATGCTGGGAAGTGCACATCTACCATTTCACTTTGTTAAAAGGGAGGAAAGTATTGTCTACATATCAAAACAGAACACTGGTACTTTGCTGCAGAAGCCCCCAATCTTCTTGAGCCTATGGGCACCTTTGGAATGCTTTTTTTTAAACAATGTATTTATTGGGTTTTAAGAGATACCAAAAGTCTATACCATATCATATGAGCAAAAACATCATCAAGAATACATAAAAAACCTTGAAACAGTTTTCTTTACAGCAACACAGCCAAGGAATATACAAAAAAGAAGAAGAAATAAGATCACAAGAAGTTATATTATTCTCACATGCATTCTTCAAAGCAATTCTACATTAAGTAGCCACTTCCATTAATCTTTCCTTTAAGATTTATCTACTACATACTACATATTCTACTCTATAATCTTAATTCTTATTATTTTTATAAGATGTTCAAAGATGTTTCTTTTAAAAGTCATTAATCAATATCATCATTCTCCTCACCAAGCAAGGTTCAAACCACTCCTGTTATATTACCAAGTACTCCAATAAACCACCAATTTATTGTTCTCTATATGCATATAGGATATCTTAAGATTTTTTTTGTTACTATTGTTTTATAACCATTTTACTTTGACATTATCAACATTCCATACCCACACCATTTAAATTCAGTTACCATTTCATTGAGTCTATTCTACAGATCTAAGATTTAACTTTGCTGTTCCTTAAGAAAAGTCTTACATTAACCAGTCTCAATACCTATCAATTATTATAAATCAATTATAGATTAACCAAAATATTCTAACACCATTAAACCTACATAGATAATTAAACAATCATGATATTACCCACCCTACTGTTTTTAAATTACCATAGTTATTTTTTTTGTTTTATTTTTAATTTCCTTACAATACATATTTTCCCTTAACTAGCTATCTAATATAACTAATCTCTCTTACTTCTCTATTCATTTCTAACCTTTCTAATTTTATCTTTAGAGTCAATAATCCTTTACAACAAAAAAGAGATTTTAAAGCCAGTTCTTCCATTTAAGCATATCTCAGAAAACCATCAATTTCACCTCCTTCACACAATTTCATTTTTTTCTTATACATTTGTAGCCTGCTCTTTTGCCACAACATTTTTACATGCCTTTTGTCCTTATGTATGTGGTAGTTTATTCCTAACCTCTCCCCTTTAGTCTTCAGAAATTCCAGCTCCCAAATTTTATTGTCTCTTTTACATTTCCATGATCTTCGCTTTGTTCTTTTTTTCTTCCATCTTTTTTTCTTTCGAAGATCAGTTCTTGCACTTTTTTTTTGACTATTCAAACGTTACAGAAAGTCTTTTTGACTGTTTTGTTCTCACTATTTTCAATGGAGGGAGTTGAGTCTCATCACCGACCTTCTCTTGGGAATACTCCGGGCTATCCACCCCATTCTGAATACACTCCTGCTTTTGATAGATGCCCGGGTTCTCCACCCCACTCTGAGTCAGTTGACTAAGCTTTTCTTTATCCTCAGTTTCAGCTTGGGGGCTATGCAATTTTTCCAATACATTTCCAAACGCTTCTTCGATACCATTCCGTATCCCCTCTCTTAACACTCTGAGAAATTGTTCTGCGGTCATGTCGCCCACCTCCATATTCTCATCAAGTTCTACCTCTGTCTGTATTTCTGATGCCATTTTAATCACTTCATTCAGACCAATTCATTAAGTTCCAGAAAAACAACACCATTCAAATTAGCTAGCAACCTTTCTTCCATATCTAATATAAGTCCTTACCGATGAGGAAAGACCACAAGTTCCCCGAAAAAACAATTATACAGAACAAAAAAACCCAAGCAATCAGTCCCATGTAGTTTCGACCGCTATTCTTCTCCATTTTAGTTATTTTTGTTCGGGAATAATCTCTCTATCTTCCTTCTGTACTTTGAATTCGAAAGTAAGTGTACTCACTCTTTTTCCCCCCTCTGCGTTCCTGCATTAGATATAGACTGTAAGTCCAAATAGGTTAAAAGAAGGATGGTCATAGCTAATGTAGAGCATGGCGTCTATGCTCTACTCCGTAGAAACGCTCCTGCTTCGGGGTGGAACCGGGGGGCTCCGAAAGGAGCGCAACAGGATCGGACGTCTCGGAGCAGCGGAGACCTTGCCCGTCGCCACGCCATACCCGGATATCCTCCTCGGCACCTTTGGAATTCTGACAGAGGGTGGTGGGCGCAACCACAAAATGGCTGCCATGGCAGGCAGAGCCAACCACAAAATGGCAGGTTATGCATAATTCTGATACTAGCTCTTCAGCATTTCAGATAGAAGCTCTGTTTAAAAGAATTCCTTTTAAATTTAGCATATTGTTTAAAATATTTTCTTTCATACACACAATCAAGTAAACATATTGAGCTAGCTAAGACACTCTCATCTGGCAGTATAAGTCTTCATTTTGCAGGCATCTAATGCACTTCTGCAGAAGGAAAAGGCAGAGAACGTTTCTTCCCCTAGCTACTCATTTACATGCACCCAGAAACAGTTGATTCTGAAGGGCTGGAGAAAGGTCATTGCATGTGCAATATGTACAATAAGAGATATCTTCTGGCCAGATTTTGATAAGAACATAAATAATTTTTTTAAAGTTAACAAACTTTGATTCAGTGATGTTATTATCATATTTCAGCTGCAAGGCATATCCTGCGCCTGTCCTGGCACCCTGCCATCCACTGTGATTTCAGATGCATTGGTGATTGTCTACCAGGCCTCAAAATATGCACAGGCCAAAGAAAGCCACTCCATTCCCCTGACTGGCCAGTTCCTGTATCAGAAACTGAGCCGACTAAAATTAAATTCGATGAAGACAGAGGTCCTGTGCTTAAGTCGGGGCGGTTCAGGGGTGGGGATCCCACTCTCAACCTTCGATGGGGCACCATTGGTGCCAGCACAAGAGATTAGGAGCTTGGGAGTGCTCCTGGATGCCTTCTTAACAATGGAGGCCCAGGTAGCAGCAACTGCCAAGTCAGCCTTTTACCATCTTTGGCTGATCAGGCAGTTGGACTTTCTTGGTGGTGGCTCCAAACCAGTGGAATGAGCTCCCGGAAGAGATCAAGGCCCTGCGGGATTTCTTACTGTTCTGCAGGGCCTGCAAGATGGAGCTCTTCCACCAGACTTTTAAATAGGAGCCACCACTACTATTAACAACACTATTAACACCATCTGAAATATGTAGAGCCTGGTCCCTAGTTAGTTCTTCTCCTAGTTGTTTGGCGACCAGATATTTAAAGTCCTGTTTTTTAATATGAGTTTCTTGTAGACAAATTACATTACATTTTTGTTTTCCCAACCAATGTTTCACTATTTTTCTTTTATTGGGTGAATTAAGTCCGTTTACATTCCACGATATCAATTTGTAATCCATCATGATCCTCAATTACTTGTCACCAAAGTCTTTATCATTATCCAACATAAATTCGACCATTTGTCCTGTTGTTTTAATCGTATGCCTCTGACTTTGAAAATTGAAGCTCAGTCCTTGTGGTATCTCCCACCTATATCTTATATTCAACTGTCTCAGTTTGTCTGTAAGCTTCTTAAATTTCTTTCTGTCTTGTATGATTACTCTAGGAAGCTCCTTCATTACTATTATCTTATTTCCATCCATTTCCAAAGGCTCAGTAAATTGCTTCTTCAATATAACCTCTTTCATCCGTTTGGTTATTAATTGCACAATCACATCTCTTGGCAAATTTTTCTGCTGTGCATAAGCTGAGTTCACTCTATAGATCAAGGCAAAGTTGTAGTCTATTTCATCCACATCGTCTTTGAGATATTCTGCAAAGGCTTTAATCACTCTGTCCCAAATATCATCGTCCATTTTCTCTTCCACCCATCTTAATCTAAGGTGAGTCTGCATAGCTCTATATTCCATCATGGTGTCCATGACATGCCTTTACTTTTTTTTCCAGCAAGGCATAAGTCCTGGTCAAGGCTGGATATGGCTTGGATTTCAACAAATATGTTAAATGATATACTAGAAGTGGAGATTCTACCATCAACATTTGCAGATCATAGTCCTCTACTCTTGACTCTACTCTTGACTCTACAAGATGCACCAAAAAAGACTAGGTGGTCTATGAATTTATGGCTCTTAAAAAACCCAAGCTTTATAACCAACTCTAAAAATGAATTTGAAGAGTTTTTCAAGTCAAATATGCAACCTGATATTTCCATGGATATAGTATGGGATGCTTTTAAAGCTTATGCAAGAGGCTGGCTTATTAGACAAGATGCATGGACGCAGCAGCAAAAAACCCCAAAGGTTTATTCAAATTGAAGAACAAATTCAAAAAGAAGAAAACCTTAAAACAGATCCCTCAACAGAGCAAACAAAGATTAAGATTAAAAATTTACAGCATGAATTTAATTGCCTCTTAACACAAGAAATTGCCAAAAAAATTATGTATGCCAAACAAAATTATTTTGAAAATGCAAATAAACCTACAAGATGGTTAGCGTATAAATTAAAAAAAGAATCAGAAAAGAAACATATAAAGGTTTTGAGGAATGAGATGGGAGAAGAAAAAAGCATTCCCAAAGACTTAAAGGAGATTATTGAAACTTTTTATAAAAACCTATATCAGAAGGGAGAAGCCAACCAAATTCAGATTAGAGATTATCTAAAGAAATTAGTTGCTGTAGATTTTCCGGGTTGTGAGGCCGTGGTCTTGGCATTGTAGAACCTGATGTTTCGCCAGTAGCTGTGACTGGCATCCTCTGAGGTATATCACAGAAAGATGGAGTACTCTCTGTGTCAAGGTGAGAAGAAAAATGGTGGGATAGGGCTGAGTAATTATCTTGTAGGAGTTCCCCAGGCTATGAACATGCTAATGGAGGATTCCCCCTCACAACTGCAGTGCCCTGTAGTGTGATGTATTTTGTTTGCAAGGCTCTCCCAGTCCTTGGGGGAATGAGGATTGGGACAAATAGCAGGCTGTTTGGGTAAGACAAGGAAAGGTCCACTCCACCAACTCTTCCAATCATCTGTTCTGCTGGGGGCATGAGTGATGGTGTCCTTAACCCTGGTAAAAGTCAGGAAATTACAGTACCCCTCCCCATACTCCTTCCCAGAGGTTATCTACATTTTGTCCTCACATTGTCCCCCCATTTAAGAGCAATATATACCCCCAACATCTCTTGAATTCTCCTGCCCCCTCCTTGTCCCAGAAGAACTTCTCTGTGCTTGAAGAGAAGTTGCTGCACAACAAGGATGTGGTATAGTAATTAAAGTGTCGGGGAAACCCAGGTTCGAATCCCGCCTCTGCCATGGAAGCTTGCTGTGACCTTGGGCAAGTCACACACTCTCAGTCTAACCTACCACTCCAAATTCTTGTGAGGATATAATGGAGGAAAGGAGAACAATTTAATCTGCTTTGGATCCGCATTGGGGAGAATGGTGGGGTACAATGAAGTAAGTAAATTACTGCTGATCATTTGCTGGCAAGCCTGGCAACTTGATCCTGTATGGCAATATAGAGGGTACCAATCATATCATGTGTATATCAACATCCAAGTCTGCTCAAGAAATTTAGAGGTAAACTGTTTAGGACAAGAATGTCTGTTTTCTTCAAACTTGAGCCTAGTTTCACCATTCCAAAAGGCAATCCTATATGTATAAAAGCCCAATGTATTGGCACTTTCCGGCTCTCCAACTGGTTGTGCTGTGTGCTCCATTAGCCATTGGTCCATCAACCACAATTTAGGAGTACTTGCATACCATTGGCTGGGTGCTGGGTCCACTCCTCCCCTGCCCACTACCAGCATGGCCACTTCCCTGACAGAACAGCTGTCTCTCCTGACGAAGACGCTTCTCCTGCTTGGCTCTTGTGGGTCTAACTTTTCTGCATGATGGAGTGAGCTCCCATCTCTAGTTCCAGCTCCTGCCAACCTAGCAGTTTGAAAGCAAGAAATTGCAAGTAGATAAATAGGTACCACTTTGGTGGGAAGGTAACAGCGTTCGTGCGCCTTGGTGTTTAGTCATGCCGGCCGCATGACCACGGAAACGTCTTCGGACAGCGCTGGCTCTTCGGCTTTGAAACGGAGATGAGCACCGCAACCCTAGAGTCAGATTCGACTGGCCTTTGAGCAAGGGAACCTTTACCTTTACCTATTGAGCTTTAAAGCCCTATGATGGCTTGAGCTCAGCATACCTTAAGGACTGCTAAATTTCATATGAACCCACCCAATCACTCCAGTCATCTTCCAAGATTCTGCTTCAGGTGCTCCCACTATCTGAGGCTAGAAAAGGCCTTCTCAGACATGGCTCCTAAACTCTGGAATCCCCAGGGAGATTTATCTGTCTCCCTCTATCACTGTCTTCCACCAGTAGGTGGGGGGTTTGTTTTGCTCAGCGTTCTCGCACTAACTTTCATTGGTACTCCTCCTCCTCGGTTGTGTATGTGTTCATACATTTTATTTAGTTATTGTAAATGTTTTATACATATATGTGTTTTAATACTAGTTCTATTGTTCACCACTTTCAGGACCCTAAGTTGGTTATCTGGCAGCATACAAATGTTTTGAATGAATGAATGAATTAATTAATTAATTAAGACAGAGGCAAGGCCAACTGCCCCAAGAAAGATCACCTCTCTCACACCCCCGTAGGTTATATACATTTTTTGGACCATCACATCCCTTGGGATGTTGTATTGATCTTAGCCAGAGAGAAAGAGAATATATAAAGAACGAATTCCTCGGTCTTTCCCATGAGACTGGCTTGATGTTAGAAGAGTCACACATAACTCGTCCTGTACTTGTGGTTATTTAATTCATACAAACTCGCATGCCTGTATAATTGTGTGTGTGTTAGAGGAAGGATGTTTGTTTTATGCTTCCAGATTATGTTTGTCTTGTTTTCCACAACACCCAGCCTCACTTACCTGGGTGGAGGTGCTGCTGAGCTTCTGCAGACCATTCTCCAGCCGTTCCATCTTTGCTGTCAGTTCTCTCCTCTTTTTAAGCAGCAAATTCTGATACAGTTTGATTTGCTCCAAGAATGACTTAGGAGTGGTGTAGTTATAGTGACGTTCATTACTCAGGTAAGTACGGGACATCCCATTTACACTGGTGTGCACATAAGCCATAAACTTACTTATAGATTCTTTCACTGGAGCCTTAGAATAAAAGAGGAGAGAGAAAATTTCTCAAGGCAGGTAATTAAACAGCTTGGCCAAATGCCCCTGAATATATGCCTTAAATCAGTCAACCCAAGGCATTACATCTGCACTACAACAAAAAATAGTGCATGACATCCAGCCAAAGAAACCATTCAAGATTTAACCTCCCAAGAACATATTTGGCTTTTTTGCATTCTAGCTTGAAATGAGACTAGGCTGTACCAAGGTAAGTTTGACTTCAGGTGACTGTCTCCATATATATTAATAAAGTGGATCTGGAGGCACAGGGACCCCAAACTGGAGCAGGGGGGCAGGTTAGGAGAGGGTTTCCACCACTAATATACTCCCACTCCAAGAAAATAGTGAGAAGTTGAAATGATTCCCTGATTCCACTCACCCCCCCCAAAATTAGCTCTAGCTAGATGTGGCACATACAACAAAAGAGGACAGCATACAAGTTCAAACCCTTCCGAAAGATGAGAGAGTTAGTTGTGCAGGCTGAGGGACAAGTGTAATTTACTTCCCTCTGCCAACACAGAGGGCTACAAATCCCTCCACACAAGGATCACCTTGGGGAGAAGGGGAGGCTGAGGCCTGCCTTCCCTCCTGATGGTAATGGGGTATACTGGGAGGAAAGGCAATAAGCTCAGTGGGGGTACACAGTCTTTGGCATTCAGCCTCTGACCCTAAATATCTCCTTACAACAGCAATCTTGCTTTCAACCTTGGTAGTGACCATGGGAAGAGGGAAGAATGCAAGCTGTGCATTTTTTTCACAAGTAACCATGAGTTAAAAGTATTATTCTAATTAAACAAGCACTTTCAAAATGACATAAATAAGGAATGCATGTTTGTTCAAATGTAATGTGACTGAGCAAAAATGTGATGTACAGAAACTACATTGTCATGGATGTAGCCAGGGATATAGGGCACTATATGTAGCATTGGTTGATTTGGCCGTTGCGTTTGATTCCATTGACAAGTTCCGCCTATGGTTAAAGCTTGTGAAAATGAACATTGATTATCAGTTATTATTTTTGCTTTGCAAACTTCACAGAGTGCACAAATTAGGGTGAGAACATCTGGCTAACTAATAGAATCCCCACCTGTAAAGGCGTGAAAAGGGGATGTGTGCTAGCTCCCTTTATATCTTTATATCAATGATATAGTTGAGTGTTTATTTGGTCCCCAATTTGTTCCACCTTCAATTTTGTTATATGTGGATGATATGGTTCTAATTTCTCTGACCAAAAATGGTCTGAGAAGGCTATTAAATCAACTAGGGCAATACTGTAAGGAAGAATCCCTTAACATTAACTATAAAAGAGCAGTCTTGGTAATCCAGTTAAGCAGTGCACCTCCTTTAAATACCTTGGAGTAACATTTAGAGATACCTTGAACTGGAAAGTTCATCTAGCAACGGTCAAGTCCACTGTGCTAAGATTAGTAGGGTCTATTTTGCATTTTTATTACTCAAGGGGTGGACGTCTTATAGACCCAGCCTTAAAATTATTTAAAAGTAAAGTTGTGCCTCATCTTCTCTATGGTGCTGAAGTGTGGGGATGGAATGAGACATTCTATCGAGCCTTGAAATAATTCAAAACCAATTTTTAAGATGCATCTTAGCTGTACCTAAGGGTTCTCCTGCTGCTCTGATGAGAGCTGAAACAGGTGTTCCTTCTTTAAGGCTGTTGTTGTGTTTCCCTATTCAGGAGCACATCCAGCCTGCCCTAAAAGCACTGCATTGGCTGCCTATAGCATACCGGATTCGGTTCAAGGTGCTGGTTCTTACCTTTAAAGTCCTATATAGTCAGGGACCTACTTACCTAAGGGACCACCTCCGCCTGTCCCTACATATTCCCTAGAGAGCATTAAGATCCGGGTCCCAACATCGTTAGGCCCTTCCAGGTCCTAAAGAAGCCAGGCTAGCTGTGACGAGGGCCATGGCCTTTTCTGTGGCAGCCCTGTACTGGTGGAATGAGCTCCCAGAGGACATCAGGGCCCTGCGGGACCTTTTACAGTTCCGCAGGGCCTGTAAAACAGAGTTCTTCCACCAGGCTTTCGACTAGGGTGCCGCCGCTGATGCCATGGCCCTGGCCCCAATACTAATACCAACATCAGCGTTAAATCAACATCTAATAGCCTGGCAAGGACCTGGACAATGGTGGTTGTTGCCATCTGGATGCCGGAAAAACGCCTCCATTATTTATTACCTGTACTACTAGCACTTTGAAATTATGATGGTTTTAACTGTTTTATCTTTTAAAATATTGTGTGTTTTATTGTACTACAAATATGTTGTAAGCCGCCCTGAGCCTGCCTCGCCGGGAAGGGTGGGATAAAAATAAAATAAAAATAAACAAATAAATAAATAAGAGCGCAGGTACATTTAGCAGTTTTAAAATATTGGAAAAGGAACAAATCTTCCAGGCCTAACTTACTCAGCCAACAATAACTTAAACTTGTATTATCAAAAGATTCACAGCATCAAGGCTTTCTTAATAGCATTTTTTCAAGATATTCCATCCCTGATGACCTCAGCTGACCCAGCTAAAGGACTGGATATTTAGATTTGATGCACTGATTGATTGATCTTCAATTATAAAATCTAAAGCAGTACCATGGTATAAACTATTCAAATGACACCATTCTAGATCAGCTTATTTGGCCAACATTTCTAACCACATTCTTAGGGTGACTTTTACTTTGGTTTTCAATCTATGCCAATGGCTGTTCTGACCAGCCGCTACCTTCAAACACCAATGGACCAATGTGTCTGCATCTGTGGATCACTTCCCCAGAGGATTTACCTCATTATATCTTATTCTGCTCATTACACACTAACCCTAGGAACCGTTGGCAGGAATTTTATCTGCCATAAACGCATATTCTGTAGATTAGAAGATTGTATTCCTGCTATCTGATAATGATGCATGCGTATCTTACAGAGTCTCTCTGTTTGCCTTTGCAGCAAAGCAGTTAAGGTCTGAGAGGGTATTGTTGTTTTAATCACAAATTTCTCTATTCTAGTTTTATGGTTTTATTTAAAAATGTAATTCATGGTTCCTCCAAACTTGTAATGGCCAATGGCTATATACAATAAACTATTGGACTGACTGTCTGTGTATAAAGTACCGTCACATCGCAGTTGACTTATGGCAACCCCAGCAAGGGGCTTTCAAGGCAAGTGAGAAGCAGAGGTGGTTTACCATTACCTTCTTCTGCAGTCTTCCTTGATAGTCTCCCTTCCAAGTACTGATCCTGCTTATCTTCTGAGATCTGATGAGAGTGGGATATACCATGCTGCCCCTTCCCTCCTGTGTGCCATACATACTTACAAAGTACACAGCTTTCCAACACGGAAATGAACCTCTGCACCAGGAAATGTAATGTGTGAATGAGCCCTTACTTATATGCTCACCTCAATATTTTCTGTCCCTTGCAAGAAGCGCAAGCTGACAGACTCCAGAGCCTCTCGAGGCCATTCATGGAACCAATCTATTGCTGTACAGTTCACAATGGCTGGGAACTTTCGACTGCGAACTCTCAACTTATTTCCCACAGGAGAAAAGCAAAGAGCAACCTGAGGAAAAGGAGAACATGTCATCAGAAAGAGGGGAACAAGGAAATCCAGACAAATAAAGTCAGGGAGAAGTATGATTTTGCCATGCTGGAAACTGATTGATAATACTCTCCAACAATGTACAATAGTAGGCTGTTATCTAGCAGGCTTGTCATATAATAATTTTTTCCCTTGATAAATGTTCAGTTGTTACTCCTATGTTGCAAAGAATTTGGATGTGTCCCCTAAAGGTAGTATTTCTCTTGCAAGGATATCACATCCTCTCAGCATTCCAATTGCAATAATTTACCCACTTAAAAGACTTCAGAGGAAATATGTACTAAGAAAAATATTGCAGAAAGCCTGGCATCAGAAAGAGCTGTCAGAAGAGTAAGGCATTTTACTTTCCCAAGCACAGCTTGTTAGCCGAATTGCTTTATTTACAGCAATTGGCAATTTATAAATGAGTTCTTGCCAACTATACCAAGGTCCTGTTCCCAACAAGAGTTACCAGTAAAGGATTCGAGGCTGTTGTAGTTTAAAATAGATGTCTTTTACTTAAGAATATATCTCATACAAACAATACTGATGCACTCACACATTCAATCAAGTTCCTTAGAATTACAGTATTAAAATAAGCACGATTGCATTAGCAGGTAGGGGTGATGAGTGGGGAGATCGAAGTAGAGGCAAGGGTTTGGGGATAGCAAGTGGGGCTCAAGGGGGAATAAAAGCAGATAGGGGATGTTGCAGGGGGTTTGCTAGCCAGGAAGGGCCAGGTGAATGGTCCTTATCTTTTACAGTGGGTTCAAGAGATGGGTGGTAACTGTTCCATCCTCTTGGCCCACCTACCTGTTAGTCCGTCCCAAAAACAATCCTATTGGTTGCATGTAGGGAGGGTGGTTACCTAAGAGGGGTGGCCAATATTGAAACCTAAAACCTTGCTTAAAGGATGGCATCTGGACAGGTGTGAAAACCTTGGTGTCAGGAAACTTCATTGTACTGCTGATGAAGCTGGCCATTCTCATTGTGAACCAAATGTCCATTTGGCAGGAAATACCAAAGCAGGAACAAAGCAGTTGATGGGTGGCACGTGACCACAAACAGTTCAGCAATGGGGGCTGTCTCTGCTCAGAGCTGTTGTTTCTCATTGCTCACAATAATGGAGGTGTGTGCTTCTTTCACCAGGCTAGTAACTGTGTAGCTGAAACCTTATTCACATGTAAGGCACGTGCAGGCACCTTCTATGTGTAGCATCACAACAGGTGACTTAAAGTGTACAGTTCTTTGAGCCTGTGTGTGTGTGCACAGTCCATTGTATGTAGCAATAAATATAGTCCATAAAGCAAATATCCAGTTCATTCTCTAACAGTTGATAGAGTAAGGAGATCTGATTCTTGGGGACCAAAACCCTACCTTGAGCTGCCGTCTAACCCGATCAATGAAGAATTTCCAGCAGGCCTCCCTGGTGTCCATTTGTCCTTGGGCTTTGACTTCATTCCTCACATTACTGATGATATTTTCAACTTCATCATCCGGGAAAAGATCAGCAATTTCTCCTAGAAACAGAGACTATATTTTCAGCCATTGTGAACTTGGAATTATGGAGTATTTTATAAATGTTTTGAGGGAGCACAATGGTTGTTTTAGGGTTTTTATGTCCTTGCCTTGTTTTTAATGGCTTGTTTTGGTTTTTTATATTGACACTTGATGATTTTATGATTTTATGGTATTGTTTTTTCTTGTACACTGTCTCAAGTAGGACTCTAGACAGGTGGCATATAAATTTCCTACATAAATTATCACTAGGATGGTTTCAGTATAAGAAACAAGGTTATTCAGTGGTAACAGGAAAGATTCCAGGTCATCTCACTCTAACAAATCTTTCTCATCACCACTAAAGCCAAACAAAAGGCATCATGGAGCATAAATGTGCCAGGCATGCTGTTTGGCTTAGGGTTGCCAAGTGCTTACCTTTGTTTAGCAGGGGAGTTTGGGTCTTTGGCCAGGACATTCATGTGCATGCATAGCGTGTGTGCTGCGATGACATAGCCTGGAAATGACGTCATCATGCTGGGCACGTTGCTGGGCGACGCTCTGGCAATCGGCCTGAAAACTCTATGTCACTTCCGGGCTACGTCATCACGCTGGGCACGTCGGCCCAATCTGGCCACTTCAGGGGTGAGGTTCCCCCTGCCGGCCAAAACCGGACGAGCGGATTGGGGCCCTTAGAGCTTGATATCTCTGCAGTTTGCTCTGGAACAATGATATCTCTGCAGTTTGCTCTGGAAGACCTCATGGGGTAGGAAATTTCAGGGTGGCAGCCATAGTTTGGGGGTTACCTCTGAAAAAAGGAATCTGCAGATCCAACTAACTGCAGACAGATGTGGCTTCTAAGGAAGGTACCATCCATTGATGTCACATGACAGGAAGGCTGAAACAGGTAAAGCCTGTTGCACTTTGCATCCTCCCTTGCCTATATAGTACCCATCTCTGTCCCTGACAAAATGGTTGTTTCCTTCACATGTATAGTAAATGGGAAATATGAAGTTTTAATAGCATTATCTTCGGGGGGCATCCCAGATGGACACAAATATTTCTTCCACAAAGCCTAATCATCCATGAGTTCTCCCCATTCAAGCTACCAATTACTTGGCTATGGAGGCCTATGGTGGTGGGTGTGCTGTGGACTATACCTGGTAGGGTTGCCAACTCTGGGTTGGGAAATTCTTGGGGATTTGTGGCTGGATCTAGCAGAGGGTGGGGTTTGGGGAGGGGAGGAGTCTCAGGGGGCCATAGTGCTAATGAGTCCACCCTCCAAGAAGAAGAAGAAGAAGAGATTGGATTTATACCCCGCCCTTCACTACCCAAAGGTGTCTCAAAACGACTTACAAATTCCTCTCCCTTCCCCTCTTTTTCAAGAACAGCTCTTATCAGAACTACGGCTTGCCCAAGGTCATCGAGCCAGGTGCAAGTGGAGGAGTGGGGAATCAAACCCGGTTCTCCCAGATTAGAGTCCGCGCACTTAACCACTACATCAAACCGGCTCTCCAAAGCAACCATTTTCTTTAGGGGAAATGATCTGTATAGTCTGGAGATCAATTGTAATTCTGGGAGACCTCTAGGTCGCAACCTAATGGTTGGCAATCCTAACCCCTGGGAACATGCTTTTAAGTGTGGTGGTATATTATATTAGCACTAGACTGATATACAAGATCATAGGACTGCTCTGTAATTTAATTTTTAGCCATTTGGGACATGTCAAATATCTTTCCCATATATTAAAACCCCAAGGGGACTCCAGTAGCTCTTATGAGGGCGGAACTTGGTCTGCCATCAGTTAGGGCCCGAGTCCATCTCATCTTGCTTAAATTTTGGAGCAAAAGTAATACCATCATCACCAACTCACCCAGTAATCAGTGTTTTCAGTCAATGTCACAAAATGACTCAATCTGGCCGGTATGCTACAATAATATACTTGCCTGCTATTCTTTCCCAGATGACTTGTTGGGGGCTTTGAACAACGGCTCCAACTTACGAAACTGGGTGTACAAATGTGATGCCCTACTGGATAGTTTTACAATCTCTCAATCTAAGTTTTCACCTTGGTTTAAGCTAATTAAGAGAGATCACCTTGGATCATCTTATTTGGTAAACATTTCATCCCCAAATCTTAGAAAGGCAGCCACCTCCCTACATTTCCAGACAATGCCGAAGGGCATTGCTTATGGGAAGATATTCTCAAATACCGATGGCTCTACGTGTCTGTATATGTGGTGCTTCATTTCCAGAATGCATATTTCATTATCTGCTATTTTGCCCTATGTATAGAACTAAATTTCTTGTCAATCTGTTAAAGGGACAAAACTTTGCCTCTGACTTGGATAAATTGGTCTTTTTATTATCTGATATCGATCCATTTGTTACTTATAGAGTCTCACTTTTTGCCTTGGCTGCAAGGAAAATTAGGGCCAAGACCGCTGCTTCAGTAAGATGAATCTGATGATTAACTGGATATATTTTAAAGGTTTATAATTTTACTGTATATTGATATTCGTAAACAACTGCATTTTACTTCTAACAATTTTTAAACCCATTCTTATGTTTGACCTTTTACCACTATATTCTTAATCCCCTTTTGTGATGGCCTTTGGCTACATACAATAAATAAATGTCTGTCTGTCTATCCCATATATAAAACCAGGGACCAAGGAACATCACTGCATGCTTGTGAAAATAATATTACGCCATGATCCATACCTGAAGCTAGCAAGTCATTTACCAGCACTAAAAACCTCTCATCAGCCACTTGAGCATCTGTCATGAGAAAGACAGTACCCACATTCTTCATTCCTGCTGCAATGTACTGTGCTGCCAGGTCAGCCTGCCGGTACAAGAAGGGAAATGAAGCTATATTTAAGTGGCAAAGTTTTGGTTATCTGCTGTGAGATGCCTCCAGCCATTTTGACAGCTTAATCCAACATAAATCATGGAATCAAGGAGCTGGAAGGGACCTCCAGGGTCATCTAGTCCAACCCCCTACACAAGGCAAGAAATTCACAAATACCTCCCCCCACACCCCAAGTGACCCCTGTTTCAGGCCCAGAAGATGTCAAAAAACTTCCAGGATCCCCAGCCAAACTGGCCTGGAGAAAAATTGTTTTCTGACCCCAAACTGGTGATCAGTTTTTCCCTGGGCATGCAAGAAAATGTCACAAGAACTAAGCACTGATGCAACCCTTCCTGTCCTCCCTCTCATCATCTGCCTAAGTTCACACAATCAGCATTGCTGTCAGATGGCCATCTAGCCTCCAAAGAAGGAGAGCCCACCACCTCCCGAGGAAGTCTGTTCCATTGAGGAAGTTCTTCCTAATGTTTAGCCAAAAACTCTTTTGATTTAATTTCAACCTGTTGGTTCTGGTCCAATCTTCTGGGGCAACAGAAAACAACTCCGCACCATTTTCTATTTGACAGCCCTTCAAGTACTGGAAGATGGTTATCGTATCACCTCTCAGTTGTCTCCTCTCCAGGCTAAACATATCCAGCTCCTTCAACCTTTCCTCATAGGACTTGGTCTCCGGACCACTCACCATCTTCGTTGCCCTTCTCTGGTTCCAGCTTCTCTATATCCTTCTTAAATTGTGGTGCCCAAAACTAAGCACAATACTCTAGGTGAGGTCTAATCAGAGCAGAGTAAAGTGATACCATCACTTCATGTGATCTGGACACTATACATCTGTTGATACAGCCCAAAATGGCATTTGCCTTTTTAGTTACCGCATCACATTGCTGACTCATGTTCAGTGTGTGGTCTACTGAGACCTCTAGATCATTTTTCCATCTGGCCAAACAGGCTGGTATCTCTCCAGAGTCAAAGTATGTACATTCCTAACCAAATCGTTGATACAATTGCTTATTATTGAGTACAGAACAGCACTTGCGGCTATAGAATTACATCGCCCAGACCCCTGTGTAAGCTGGTATAGGCCGATTAATAAATTGAATAAAATAAAATTAATAAATAAAATAAAGAGCAACTACAGATTCTTCTCCAAGAAGTATAATGCCAAAGCTCATCATTATTATTTGAATCACTTTAAGCTCTTTGCAAACCGTTTCTGATGGAACAGCATATTACTAATGAAGCTAGTTTTCTTTTTGAATGTTCATGAGCTTCATACTCATGATTACTCATGATTGCTGGAGACTTGTAAGTAGATTTCCTCCATTCTAAAAAACTGGTTTATAGCAGTCTTCCCCTCCTGATACAAATCATACACTATTTATTTTGTTTTCCAAAATTTATATCCTGACTTTCTGCCTTCACAAGGGCCTCCAACGCAGCTAAAAAATTAAAACATACATAATAAAATCACATTTTGAAACCATTTAAAACCAATTCTGCCTCCAAAAACACACAACATTAAAACAATTTAAAAAGCTAAAATTCATACAAAGAAATAAAAACAACAATCAAAACGAGCTGCTGTTTGACCTAGGGGTGGGGATAGATATAGGCACCATACGGGTGATGTCTGTTCCACTCATGGAGCAACTAGCAGTAAGGAAGATCTGCATTAGAAAAATAGTACATGGGGAAACGATTAAACCTCCTGTAATGTACTCCGCCATGAGTTGACCTACGACTCCTTGACCTTAGAGTC